TATCTCACACAGTATCCATCTAAGCTCTATAATCTTACTGTTTCTTTCCTTGAATTTGGATTTTGGACCTTGCAACAACTGTTTTATATTTTCTGTCTACTTTTCACGGAAATTAAAACAAGAACTCTAAATGAAACTTAAAAGTATTTTTATTTTTAATATGAAAACAGAAAGGAAAGGAATATACGACTTGAGGGCACAGAAAGTGCTGGTGAGATAAGCAATATGAGATCATCGATTGCGCATCTTTTACTATAATGGCTTGTGACCACACAAACCAATTTCCTGTGAAACAAGTGGTTTTCTGGCTGCTCCGATGAAAGATGCTGCATAGATGAATTAAACTCTTGACCTGTGATCAACCGCAAATCTCCAGCAGGCACATGAGAGTTCTGATTAGCTTTCTGTGGCCATCCACATCCGTGTGTGTCCCTCCCTTGACTCTTCGTGCGTGTTATGCAGCGTTTAACACGAAGCCGTGCTTTTTGAATTGGACGTATCAAAGATTTGGAAATTTTCCAAGACTCCCTCTCATCATTTATTGCACATGGACCATTGCCATCCGACTTGTTCAATTCCCATGTGTCCAATTCTGTATGGTATATCCAATTTTATTTGTAGTGAAAGAGATCTATATTTGACAAAAAAATAGTAGTAAACGTTTAGTTTGCTCCTGATTAACATTGCATTATACATATCTTTACTTGGATTTTTGAAAAAAAAGTGAAAATTTTCTCGAAAGAAAGTATATTTTTAACAGAATTGATTGCGATACGATTTTTATTTTACTTCAAATCAATTTAAACAATATCAAAAATTTCAATGAAATTTTTTAATGAATTTAAATATTAATACTAATTAACATTTCCTATCTTACTAAGATTTCAGATTCTATAAGTTTTTATACAAATCAGCAAAAACCCTTTCAAAACAAATAGCTTTTTAGTAGCAAAAGTAGGGTTTCCTAGTTGAATTGAGTACCCAAACATGCATGACTCTCACTTGCTCCTTTACTTTGAGGCTATTACTCTTTCATCAACAAAACTAAACCTACAAAAACCATCTATATGTTTATTTTCCCTCGTATAAGCTCTACCAAACTTCTTGTAAACTAACAACACATTAGTACTTCGAAAATTAATGTTGTGGAAAAATTGATGCATGTGATACGTGCATTTGGCCCCAAGATATTAAACCCTCTGACAAGTCAAAGCAAAAAGATTTATCTTCTTGTCCATCTACTTCCATGAGCTTTCAAGTTTTAAGTCAAGTCATCGCGGAATAAAAACCCTTTTGTAAAACCTTCGTTTTCCATAACACCCACCCCCCTCGATCAGCAGAATGACGTCCTTCTGCTGACGATTTGAATCTTACGTTCCCAATTGGAATTTACAAAGTTAGTGGGAGTTGCTTTTGATTTGGGTTTTGTATTTTTCTGATGATGATGTGATTTACAACTCCCCAGTAGCATTTCTCTATGTTTCATGCTTCTTTTTTAGGAGGAGGAGTGGGTGCCGCTGCCCTCCATCACATGCCCACCAAGTTTCTAGTGGAGAAAATTGTTACAAGTGTTGGCCATGATCCATGCAAAGCAAATTGTTTTATCTTTAGCATTGTCTTGTTCCTTTCTGTTGGAGGAATCTGATTAAGCATCCAGGGTCAAAGAGTTATGAAAACTTGGGGATTTGGTTATATTCCCCTACTTTTCACCAGAGAAAAAGTTCCTCAGTGAATTGTTTGGAATTCAGATTTCTTCGGTGCAAATATCTAATGCAGAAGTAAATTATCAGTTTTTTGTTCGCTGACTTGAAGTCAATTTCGTACCAGAATTGGGGTTCATGATTAACTTATCAACAAGCTTAATATATAATTAATCTAATGATCTTGTGGAAAATTGATTCCCGTCGGTCTTAAAATATAAAGAGTGAATAGATTGCTAATGCTTTAAGAATTAAGAAAGATGAGAGTGGAGAAGACTAACGACGGAGTAGTGTTTTCTTTGCCCTTTTTTATTGTTATTTTTATTCTCTTATTACCTTATGGTACTCAAAAGTCATGATTTGTGACATCTACAATACGTTGGTTAACGTTCTGTATTTTTCATTTAAAAATTTTGAATTCAATTCTTATAAAATATAAAAATGTTACGTCTTAATTTATATATAAATTTTTATTTTTATTAAAAATATTGAATAATTATCCTTATCAACGCCATCTAACACGGATGAAACTGCTGAGAACTGACACAAATTAAAGTACAAGGAAACTAAAGCTGAAAACTCATCGATTCTCAACTTTGGTGTCCAAAGCTTTTTGAAGAACTGGCGTCGTTGGACCAAAAGGCTTGCAATCTTTCAATCTTGTCGCCATGGTGGTCTGATTGGCAGGGTTTGGGTTGGTCTGAGTCTGGAACCTGATAGCCTCGGCAGTGTCAATTCCATGGACATGG